CAAGCGACTAAAGAATGCAGCGGAGGAAATCTTAGGTGAATACCAAGGGGGCTTCAGACCGAATCGTTCAACGACCGATCAAATATTCCTGCTTAAACAGAACTTGGAAATGAGTTATGAGTTCAATGCAGTAGTGCATATCCTTTTCATCGACTTCAAACAAGCATTTGACAGCATCGATAGAAAAATGATACAGGAAGCTCTACAATCACTCGGGATCAATCAGAAGCTCATAAAACTAATAATGATTACATTGTGCAATACAACTAGAAAAGTGATAGTGCAAGACAGTCTAACAGATGCCTTTGAAATTAAAAGTGGAGTGAAGCAAGGTGACTCGCTTTCAACTACCATTTTCAACCTAGTCCTTCACGATGCTATTAAGTCACTGGTGGCAACAGGGAACATATTCAACAAAACATCACTGACCATTGCCTACGCAGATGACATAGCCATCCTAAGCAGATCACTTCACTATATGAAAGAAAAGTTCATCGACTTACAACTCAGAGCTAAGATCGTTGGGCTAAACATTAATGAGAACAAAACAAAATATATGAGGGTTGGAAGAAACATGCACAGCCGAACTTTAGAGCCCTTTCAAGTTAGTGAGTTTACGTTTGAAGAAGTTGAAAGCGCCAAATACTTGGGTGTCCTTATTAATAAAAACAATGAAATCAGTGTTAGTATACAAGACAGAATTGTAGCAGCAAACAGAAGTTATTACGGACACGCGAAAATCTTCAAATCTAAAATCGTGACCAGAAGTGCCAAACTACACGCTTACAAGGCAATCGTCCGCCCGGTATTATGCTATGGGGCCGAAACGTGGACTCTAACGACAGCAGATGAAAACCAAATTAGAACATTCGAAAGAAAGGTGTTGAGAAAGATTTATGATCCCATCCGCCTGAATCAAGAAGAATTTCGTCGGCGTACGAATGCTGAACTACTACAACTTTGTGATGGTGAAGATGTGGTGAAGTTCGCAAAGTCGCAACGCTTGAGATGGTTAGGACACGTCATGAGAATGCCGGACGATAGACCACAAAAGCGAATACTCCATTTCACGCCGTATAATGACCGCAGCAGAGGTAGACCGCGTATAAGATGGCTCGACAACGTGACTGAAGACATCAGGAAAATGGGTATACAAAGCTGGAGATCTAAAACATCATGCAAAGCAGAATGGAGAAAGCTGGTTGATGCAGCTAAAGCTCACCCCGAGCTGTAACGCTGATGATGATGATGATGATGATATTAGTGGATAAAAAACTCATTAGTTTTTCATTAGGATAACGTGCCTTCATATACTACCATACATATTTATAAGTTTTTAATGAGCACATATGCCTAAAACCGCCAACAGATTCGCTGTATTTGGTTCCCTTTGGTTAATTTCTATTTGAACGACTCAAGAAACCGACCAGGGTCACGGATTTTAGCAGCCCGAAAGAAATAGAAAAAAATTGTAGATGATTCTGATGGCTATATATATAATCCGGTTATTAATAATGTTTCGAGGATTGAATCAAGCGCTGGCATAAATGCACTTGAATCAAGTAAGAGTACTTTGAAAAGGGCTTCTTAAGTATACAAATCAAAACAACATTTTTTCTTTTATATACATTGTATTTATATATACATTGTGACCGAAAGGTTTTCGGAGGTTCTCATTTAAAATTCGCGCGCTGTATATTTTTCGATATTTTAAGTTTATGTAGTTTGGCAGCACTGTCCTTAATTACTATGCCAAAAATGAGCGCGATCTGTCAGACAGTTCGTTTACGGCAGCTGTTGAAACCAGTTCACCTCAGTAGTGCGTTGCGAAAAAAACAATGGAAAAAAATATTGAACAAAGAGTTTGCATCAAATTTTGTTTTTCGAACGAAATTTCGTGTGCAGAATCGTTGCGAATGCTACAAAAGGCTTATGGGGAATCAGTTTTATCGAAAACTCAAGTTTATGAGTGGTACAAAGCCTTTCAGGACTGTCGTACGACCGTCGAAGACATGCCGCGTTCTGGACGACCTTCGACCTCTACCACCGACGAAAACATTGAAAAGGCAAAGGAAATCGTGTTCAAAAATCCTCATGTGAGTGTTAGAGAGATAGCACGAGAGCTAGGCATCGGTCGTGAGATGGCTCGTTTGATTTTGGTGGACAATTTGTGTATGCGACGTGTCAACGCCCGGCTTGTTCCGATTCACCTCAATTTGTTCAACATTATCAACGATTTTAAGGCCAAACATTCAATAAATACCATCGAACAGCCACCGTATTCACCTGATCTTGCACCGTGTGACTTTTTCCTGTTTCCCAACCTCAAATTACCACTCAGAGGAACGCGTTTTGAATCCATAGAAGACGTAAAACAGAATTCGCAGAGGGAACTCAAAGCCATACCGGAAAGCGCCTATAAAAAATGTTTTGAATGATTGGAAGAAACGTTGGCATTTGTGTATCGCTTCTAATGGAGCATATTTTGAAGGAGATAAAATAAATATTGATGAAGATTAAGAATTTTGCGTTTTATTTATTTATGACCGGAAACTTTTCGGTCACAATGTATATATACATAAATCAACTATCTAGTTAAATGTTAAAAATAAACGGATAGAAACTGAATTCCTATTCAACATGTCAAATTTTCAGATTTGGTTGCCATAAAATGTTTTCACTCACAAAAAAAAAAAAAAGAAAGAAAACAAAAAAAATTCAAATCCGCAATGGACTCAAAAAATGCTGCTAGGCTGCGTAAAGACACCGCTAGTGGCGCATAACAGAGCGAGAGTACTTGAACCAATTGAGTCAACTAAACTCGTATAGGTGGTTATGGGTAGGTACATCGATAATCTGCTAGGCACAAAACACAATAACAGGAAATGATGGTCTAGCAAGTATCCAACCTCAGTAAGATAAGGACAAACATCTCTGTAACTTTAAGCCATTCGTATTCGTATAGGATTTGGCAGAAATGGTCACTGCTTCGTTCTTTTGTTTGGTAATAGATTGGGGATTGCATGGAATTAGCAGTTTAAATTGAATAGATACCAGTTACTATGCACTCAGGGAAGCGGATGCGAATACGAATGCCAATGTAGTTGACAGCACTTTCGTTTGATTCAATTTTGAAATTGACTGGCAATGCATGTCATTCGAGCAATTGAAATTCAGTGCGGATTACGTGTGCTCCTACGAATATGTATGTGAATCGGAGGTAATGCAATGCACAATTACGATGCTCACCAGACAAATTATGAGCCTAGATTTTATTCTTCTCGTTATGCGTTCTGTTCACTTGTTTGATTCAATTTAAAAGGGAAATTCAAAATTTATTGCATGGCACGGACTCACAACTGACACTGCAAAGAAAAAAATCGATTGCTTATACAAAATTAAACATACTATACTGCAGCTGATGGTTTATGTATTTCTGTCGAAGAGAAAAGTAAGTATCTAAGTTGATTTACGAAACTAAAAAGACTAAACGAAGTTGACCTCAAATATTTATGATCAATTATGTTTTTCTATCCGTCTACATGGCCTGTTTCGGAAGTTTCATCATATCGTATTCAGATTAAAACTCATTTGAACTTTTAGTAGATTTTCATTACTACTGTCCTCTTAGCATAACATACCATTTATTAGAATTGAAGACTGAAATTAATGAAACAAATTTTGTTTCAATAAAAAACTTTATTTTTTTTTGCATTTAAGAGTTCATTGAAGAAGACAACTGAATGTAACAGATACTAAGAATTTCTACGAATTCTATTCTTATATTATCCATATTTATATGTAGCATAGTAATACATACACAGTGTTAAACGATTGAAGAGTTACCAACTACACACAGGTATATCTGTCAAACTGATATTCCCAACTACGTGAAATTCACACGAATGATAGCTGTTTATATTTGTGTATCATACCATAAATCGTACATAAAGATAGTGTGAACCGAGAATGGTTTAAAAATCATGTTCCAGACTTCATTTTGTCCACACAATGGCTTTTGAATTCGCCAGATGCAAATCCGATAGACTATTTCATTTTGAGCCACTTTGGAGATTAATGTGAGGACTAAAAAATATGCTAGTATCGATACAAAACGCAACAATCTGTAACAAAAAAATATATTCAAATTTTCTTTTCTTATTTACGTTGTTGGATAATCTTACCGTTTTCTTCTTCTAAGATTTCTAAACCTACTATAGGTTGTAGGTCCATCGTATAGTTTTGTACTAGTCTTCACATACTTGTTGGGCAGGTGGCACTGGTCATACAGGTTTTTCTGTCGAAATGCATTTCAATAATGATTTTTGGAGTTTTTGGTTTGAAGTCACAGATTCTCAGAGATATAAAAATTTTAGATTTCGAACTTGAAAGTCGTCTTTTCCGGAGAAATGTTGTATGACATTTTTACAATTGTTCGCGATTTAGATGTGAGGAATTTATATTATTCGTAATATTATATCACAAAGGCCTTTTTAGTAATTTCCTTGGTGAATTTGTTAAAAAAGATATATTTGACTGTCATTGGACGTCAAAATTTATACTAATTTGATTTATTTTGCAATCACCACATCTTATTACGGTACTAATCGAAGCCGGATCAGAAAGTAGTGTCAAACATTAGTTTTAGATTGATCTGATCAATTTTCAGTTTTCAAGCTTTGCTTAATATATGCAAAACCTAGACAAAAGAACAGCTTATTATTAATATAGTGAATGGAGAACGTCTCTATAACGTTTTAAATAAATTCAATATGGTAAGTTATTAAGAAACGACATCAAAGATATTTCCAGCATGATCAGAGCGAAAGTAGACATATAAAGTAATATCTTTTTTTTTGCTTTTCATCAGTAGAAGATAAAAATATTTACAATATTCTTTGGTTTTAATTAATATAAAAAATTATACTTTTGTTTCTATAATTTTGAAATTGTTTTGGAATTGATCAATATTCAACAAATTTACATAGAAAGTAGGTACATAAATCATGGATCACTTTGAACTAAATATCTCCAAATTATTTTAAAATGAAATAAACAAAAGAAGAACCTTATCGCTTGGTTTAGACTTAATGTTCTTAAGAAACATGGGCCATGCTTGCTTCTGTATAGGGGATGGTGTGTCAAAATTTTGCTTCCCTATTTTACTCAGCAGTTCAGGATAATCTTTAAAACAATGTTCACTTTTCCATATTGGTTTTAGTATTTCATGACACATTATATCCTTATCAGTTATGAAACGAGAAACGGTGATTTTATTGCTCAAAGAACGCAATTTATTTGCTTCCAGTTCAGTCATTACTGCAATTTTCTCTACTTCTTGATAAAAACTTTTTCTCAGTTCTGGAATTGAGCCAACCTTACTTCACGACATTCTTCCTATAAAAAAAATATTTCATATATAAATAAAAATAATATAATCTCGTTTTCGTTTATATATTCTACAAATGTTTCTTACAGCTTTCTTATTGATGCTTTATTCTCAGCACTACCAACACCCAAATTTTTCGTATTGGGATTCAGATTGTTACCATCTTTCTCATTCTCAAAGATGATTTTGAATTGCGTTTTTTGCCAATAATACTATTGTATATAGTTTAAAGTTGCAGTCTCGTGATTTCCAAGCTGAACGTCTTTATTTCCGGACGAATCTTGAATGGTTATGTTAAGATTTCAAGGTGTAGAATTTTTATTCATCTCATAAGACAGCATATCACCAATAACTCCAATGGCATCAGTAATTTTCTTTCTAACCCCAAATAGTAATTTTATTGCGAAACTTGTGTATGTGAACTTGGACATCATACTTGACATTAATTTCATTTATCTTTCGAATTACTGCGCCGACATGAGCCGCATCGCAATGAAATACTTCAAGAATAACACAAACTCTTCTATACTCGTTCCGTTCAGATTGAGCTGCACAAACTGGGGAAAAGAACAGATTATTGGATTATTGAATAGGAAACGTTTTCACAAAGTTGACAATAAATTCAAAAAATTTGATAAATATATGAAAAACGATATGAAATATAATTCCTGAAGCACGATCAAAGCGAACCTCGATATAGAGAGTAATAGCAGACTTTTTTCATGGATCGTTGTTTAATTGTTGTTTGAATTTAAATAAGAAATTATACTTTTACTTTCTGTAATCTGATTTCGTGAGGATTGGATTAAAATGGTACAGAGAAAATACTCTACATACACATTATACATCTAATACTATAAAATACATATACATCCAATACATTATATATAATAAATACCGCATAATACAAAAAGGTGTTTTCTTATAAGTGATGACGTTGAGAAATTGAAATGTACTAAACGTTTTTGTTCTCTATCAATACCAATGTTGTTTCACAGACGCTTTTACCAATCCAATAAAACCAAACGTCCTTACTTGGTCAACAGTTTTAATTATTAAAGGTTACGACGCCATTTACCATTTACAACGTGGTGTTGCAATAAACCTATTTCACACATCCTGGACAGCTCGGATATACCGTTTCAAAAACTTTGCAATTCAATAAGTCTTCCAATTGGCCGTATAACATCACCCTGAAGAGTATATAGATTTTCAACACGTACCAGTCTAAGGTTGCTATAAATATGGAATTACCATTAATAATACGTTTTATTAATTTCTTATAAGAAATGATGTTCGAAATGATATATATGATATTTGGTTTAGTGAAAAATATGTAAACTTAAGTAATGCTCTGATATGTAGGAATACATGTATGTCGGGGTCTTATAAATTTTTTAATTTGTTAATTAACGTATGAGTCTGAATAAATTTCAAAAAGTGAAAAAAGTTTCAAATTTTGAAACAAGATAAAGAAGTTTGCTTACGTATGTAGCAGCTTCACCATTTATTGAACGAATTCTCATAATAACACCTATTGAAAGTCGAATATTTGAAAGATAATTATTGAATTAAAAGTAGAGCAATCTCGGGGATAAGAATCTTCAGGTTAATATTCAGAAGATCGAGTATCAAATCGAAAATATTTTACACAGTTAAGTTTCCGTATTGTTGGTATGTCTATCGGAGGAGCTCTCTACGTCAAACACCAGGAATATGCGTGATGTCCAAAGGAACGTTCCACTGATCAATATGTGCTATAGGCGTTAGAATCGACAGCCAACTATTCAAAACAACGAAATCTTTTCTCTCCGACTTAATCCGACTCAAATGACAAATTTTATATAAATAAATAAATAATGTGAAATCGTTACTATTAGAAAATTGATCTAAATTATTCTACTTTAACCATTTTTTCCAAAATACACAAAAACCATTTCTTGTGAAAATTTTACGAGTAAATAGAAGTCTCATTTCTAACCTAACCTTCAAAAATTGCACTTCCAATGTGTTCGGTTCGCGTGCCATAATTTTAAATTTTGTTTTATTCAATAACTATATTTCAATGCAAACTTGTAAAACGTGCCTTGTAAGATTCTTTATTTATTCTTTATTACAACTTTTTCATAAAAGTTTTAGAAAGAATTACATTGTTTTAAATTTTTAGCCGATGGCCTAAAAAATCGTCTTCAGCCAGTTCGGAATCGAATTAATAACTTTTACTTACAATTGACGTTTATTTGCATCACAGAAAGAAATGTTACACTAACTTCTTCGGACACTTCGGACACTGAATCAACCGAAACCTACTCGTCTTCCGAACAACTAACCAATGACGACAACAAACTTTTGTAGTTGTAGTTCTCAAATAGATATTTCTAGAAAATTGACACGCCATACAGTACGTCCGAATATCTGCTTAAATTTGTTGCAACTGTACTAATTTAGTCTAAACGAACAAATATGTCCCGCACTTTATCTTATCCAATTTGTACCACATAAACATAATCACAATATTATATAAAAAAAATTTAAGATATTTATTAAAAGACGTATAGTATATATAGTTGCAATTGCTACTGAATTGTCACTGAACATTCATACAGACTATAATAGATGCGCGAGCATTTCTCAATAAATTGGAAATTTCCAATATTTTTTCAGTAAGTTTGCCAACTTGAATTTGTCTGTCGAAAATCTGAAACCTAACGATGATTCTAACGTTTTTCCTATTCATACTTTTATACAGACAATTGAATGCATTGTTTACTATACCAACTATACCATACGGATATGTTGTAGAGGTGATCGTACTATATATTATCGTTGATCGGAATATTTGTTGAGAATATTTGTTGTCAAAGTAACACCGTGTTTCCACTGCTTACAATACATTTTCACTGTTCCAGTTAGACAGTTGCTAATTTATATTAATGAGTGAACGTTCACATTGGAATGAGCTTCTTTATGCAGTTGATAGAACTTTTAAAAACTTTTATAAACTACATAATAATATATAACACAAAAAAAATATTTATAATTGATACATTAAATCATTTATATACATATATGTATCAATTACGTATTCAATAAATAAAAACAAAGATTTTATTAAATATTTGCCTCCTCAGTACCTTTGTTTACAGCTCAGCTGTTTTTTGTTTACATTTTATATATAAAACATATGACACATTCTCTAAATTTTGGTAATTTCTCTTGTATTAGATTCATTTTTTAGGGTTACTTTCGACATTTTTCACTTCAAATAATCTGATTTATTGATAATAATCTCATTTATATAAGAGATTTTTGTATGATAAATCATTCTCATTAGTGGGTATGATGAGCAAATCCACCTAAATGAGACAGTGTGAATGTGCTATTCATAGTAGGTGTAACTAATATTATGCTTTTATGCTTATTTGGTAAATTTAACTTACTAAATAAATATCATCCACCATACAAATAACTTTACACAAATTTTATGCTTTTAACTTACTTAAAAATAAGGTAAAATAAAATAAACTTGAAAATAGAATTAAATATTTGTCGTATGTTTCACATGTGAAACGTAAACAAACAACAGCTGATCTGTAAACAAACGAACAAAATAGTGAGTATTCAATAAAATCTTTGATATTATTAATTAAATATGTAATAGATTTATAAATAAATAATTTAAATAGATAATTTAATATATAAATAATTTAATATATCAACTATTATTGAATTTTTTTGTGTGACGTTATATTATGTCAAGTTTATTTCAACAAACATAAGCTCTTTTAGAACTTTTAAAGAACTTTCTGATACATAAAAGCTCTTTCACATGCAATAAGTAACTTACTATATGTCAATGAAAACTGCAAAATTGAAAGGTTACTTAAGTAACTTACTAGATAAGCAGTGTAAACATGGTACAACTCACAACTAAAAAATTGATTTAGAATTTATATCTGTGTTCACACCCAACGGCAGTAATAACAAAAAATAATTTCAATAATAACTTGAAATTTATCTTTATCTCACTCACTTTATCTTGTTATTTAAGTCCTATTGGTTTCGTGTACTGAAACCGGAAAACCAGTAAAAACTAAAACAAATTTCACTCATAGCTCACTTATATTATTACAATGTTGCAGTTAGTGGATTAAAAGTTCAATCATGCTTTGATCTTGGTGATGTTGAAAAGGTGATGGAGATGGTGATATATACGAATTTTTTTGCTTCTGGCATTTCTTATTTTTTTGATGTCTTTTTACATTTAAATTTACACTTACAAGAACAATGAACAGCAAAAGTAAGAAATTAACACGCAAGTTGTAAATACCAAATTAAATGTTCAAAATAAATTACTTATCAAAATGCTTATCATTTCAATCTACAGTATAGCAAGCTTCATCAAGTATAGCATCAAGTATAGCTTGAAGTATAGAATCAAGTGCATCAAGAAGTAATGAACTAAATTAATCCCTAAATATTAATCAAGTTCGCAGGGGCTTTTACACAAGAACATTAAATTAAAAATTATTATTAGATAATTCAATTATTAAATTGGTATAACATATTTGAATTTAAATACTAGTCTTTACTAAACTTTACTACTACAAATGTCAAATGCAACCCTGGTCTATAGAGTCG